AAGACGCCTCCAAGAGGCCGCTTTTTTGAAACATTCCAGGGCAGCCCAAGAAGCCCCCGAGAGGGCCCACAGTCCGGTCAAAAGGACGCAAATATTTCCCAAGGGGCCCCCAAGAGGGTCTCAAGACGGGCCTGAAGTAAAAAGCAGGATGATGACCATGTGGTGAGATGTTGCAAGGTGGATGAAAGATGGGGAACCACCCAGAAGACTGATCATAACTTGTTTTCAGTGCGATAGTAGATCGCCGAGTCCACTATCAATCTAAGCAAATCGGGCGCCGGCGTCTTGAGCCAGACGCCGACGGCGCGCTCGCTATGCTTGCTATACGTATTACCCTCTGAACCCTATACAGAGTCGACGGGGGAGGAGACGAGCAAATCGAACCACAAAATCAAGCTACGCTTTACGGGAAGAAAGCACATGGCGATATGCCCTGGGGCTCGGGGTCGCCCGAGCCGTGCCCAGCCGGCCAACGCCAGACTGAGCCTGGCCTGGAGCCAAAGTCGAGCCTGCAAGCTGGGCATGCAGACTTCATGCTGGCCTGGCCAACCGCCCGCGGCAGCCCTGCGGGGTCCCAAATGGTTGGGCCTTCGACGCGTGCAGCGTGCACAAGTAAAAATCACAAGAGCATGTCGCAGGCAGAAGGTAGAAAAGGAAGGCTGGCTTGCCTCAGCGCGTGTTCCCATGCAGCACGGAAACATTCCGCCTGCTCGTTGCGAGCCGGGCTCATACTTCGAGGTCGGAGCCACGTGAGGAGTGTAAGCCTTCAGCTCGCACTTACAAGATTGCGTTCCCGCCGTTACTTTCAGTGACATGTCCCGTTCTATGCGGTTTTTGATCTGTCCGTCGGCAGTCACATCCCGTGTATCACGCCTTTGCATGCTGTGCATGATACGTCTGTCCATCATCTGCCTTATCGACCTAATGTGTCCTGACGGTGTACGTTATGTAGGCATCTTAAGGTCCTTGTCGGACAAGGATTCGAATGCTGACTCAACATCGATGGCGTGGGTAACTTTGATGCAGAGACCGCCCATTTCAAGTATATGTTTGAATTGTGTCTGTGTAAGCGGTCCCGCCTTCAGCCCATATTGAGTGGCAGCGGTCGGGCGCAAGTCCTCTGAGTCATGGGCTGCTGCAGGCGTCCCCGCGGAGCAGCTGCTTGCAATCGATGCGACTTGCAGTGGGCATCTGTCAGGCGTGCGACGGATTTACCACTGCGCGTGAGTCCGCGCCGGGGTAGGTTGGCACCTCTGACGCTGCATCCTTGCGTCTCGGCCTCGACGTCCCCGGTCAATCGTTCATTGCCGGAGTCCCTGTGTGGGGCGGCTTCTCTGGTGGGCTCCTGGCCGGGTCGACTTTCTTTCGGAATTGGCCCTGCAGCTTCCGCGGGCTTGCGCACGGCCGACGCACCTGGATGCCGGCGGGTTCTTGCGCCCGTTGCGGGGAGACGACGCGCGCCATCGGCCAGACCTGGGTTATCAGTGCAAATGCTAATGCGTCGCGACGGCCGACGAAAACGACCGCGACAAGTATCGTCGCTTTCTCCCCAGCCTCCGCGCCCGCGAGGTCGGAGTGTTGGATTGGGCCAAGTTGTCTGGTGCATTCGCCCTGATCGAACGTGACGTCTGCGTTTTCGTTCTTCGCGTGTCTGGCGGCGCAGAACGTGTCGCTGAGTTAGTTTTTGGGGTTTGCATGCGCCGAATGTGATTTCGACGCACTTCACATGGCGATCGATAGTTTCCTCCTATCCAGTCATGTTGATGTCGTCTACGTGTTTGGCCGCCAGTGCCGTCCCCGCAGTTTCGAGCCTCGCCGCGAGACGTGGCTCGCAGGCCGACGCCGCGCGTGACGTTGCGAAACTTCAGGGAGTAGGCGCGCGCGGCGTCCTTCGCCCCGGCGCCCGGCTTCAAGCGCCGCAAGCAACGTCGACTTTCGCCGTATCTCTCGAGCCCAGGAAGAATTCTTGACGCAGCTGCTGATCCAGGTGGTAGTGTAGAGCGCGCGATGCGTTCCTACTCTCCAATGGCTTCGGCAAGCTCGCGGTTGGTGGGGCGCGTCAGGAATGCCTTGTCTATGTCCGTGGGCGCACTTATCTAGTCGGGTTTTGCATGCGCCTGCGCTGGACACCAGGCGCCGCCGTGGCCTTCCGGCCGCTCCGCGTCGAGGGCTTCAATGTCCATGAATCCTCGCAGGGCAAGTCTTAGCTGGATTGCCCTGGCAATTTCTTTTCGTCATTCTTGACAAATTTCAATTTACATACATAGCGTGAGGTCATGACGTTTGGGGCGTCTGAAAGAGATGTCATCTTGCAGTAGCTGTTAGCAGGCCAAATCTGTAGCTCAGTGTAAGCGCCATGCCAACCTGCGCTGGGTAAGCTATAGTTGCAGCCTCAGCGAGCAGCAGGTCATCGTCCGAAACCACCACCGCGCGTTTAGCAGTTGCGGGGACGGGTATCTGAATTGTGCTGATGATAGACCATGCAGCTGTTCGTCAGCTCGACCTTTGCCATGCCAGCTATAATACGTAATTGGATAAACTTGCCATATAGGTCGCCGCCAAGAGTATAGTCTTTGTCGTAATGTGGAATCGCTGAGACCTTGTACACATCTGGATTATGGTGGTTTGCGTCCCCGCGGGGACGAGTGCCTGGGCCATCGTTAGCTACGGTAATCAGGGCCGTCTGGTCTGATGTCAGAGTAGGTGCAATGCAAGGTAGTTCGGGATTTGCGTTCTCGAGGAGCACGCGATCGTCTTGGGTTTCGGTGCGAACGTAAGCCTCAGGATCGACTTCTGATTCTTCTTGAATCGGCAAAGAGTCGCCCTGTTGGCGGGGGCATTTCGTTCTCGAGCGTCTCCGCCGATTGAATGTCACCGCGCGGTGCAAGGCCGCCCGCGTCGTCCTCGAATTTCGAGAGGTCCTCATCGAAGCCGGTCTGAGGCGTGGATGATCTCAGACATTGCATTACCATGCACGTGTAGACGCAGTGATTTCGCGCGCGTCGAGGGCTGTGCCATTCGACTCGTCGTAGGGAAACCCTGGTGACACATCGTTGTCATACTGGGCCCGGGTAAAACAGTCGGCGCACATGACAACTGGTAGTGGATGGATACTTTTGGCAAGTCGGACAGCGACCGCGTTATCGATCCTCAAGTAGTTTCGAATCAGGTTTTGTAATGATAGACGCACTCTGGGCGATCGCTTGCTAGCTGTGGTCATGCGCAAGAAATTATGCTGAGTTGGTGGGTCACCAGAGGTCATCGCAGGTCACCCTGCAAGTAGACTTGCGACGCAAGCATATATAATTCGAAACGCTGTTTTCAAAAAAACTGATTCTCGGACCATCAGCACTTCGATGTACAGCGCGTGCCTTGAAAACAAAACATCGAAGAACAACTTCGCGATTAACGACCCGCGCTATGGCTTGGCCCTTTGCAGGGTCGTTGCGTGGAACTGGGCATGGACCCTTCCAACCTCCCCAGTCGTCCGTCGTTGCGGTTGGTCGGTGGTGATCTTCTCGATATAGTGCCCGGACTTGTGTTGCTTTAGTGCGCGGTGCTCTGCTGGTTTCAGCAAACGCTGTAGCTTGTGTCGTGGCCTCCAAGCTGATCTCGCGCATCGGCTGTTCTCGTGAGTGGTCTGACATTTCCGTCTGTTGTCCGCGGTTCAGCGCTGGCAAGTCGGGTGGACATGCTGGCTGGCGTCAGTGCAACGCTGGCGCGGAAATGCCCCATGTTAGAACGTGACGGGGAAAATATAATGGCATGTTGCGTCGTTTTGAGGAAACCTCCATCGCGTGCGTGGTCTGTCGTAGACTTCCATTTCGGGCTCTGTAGTCGTGGCGCGTTGCCCGCGTGCTCGGGTCCTAAGCTCCACGCACTTGTGCTTAAGGATGCCCCGTGCTGCGTCGTTGTTAAGAGCGTCTTCTTCCTCTGAATACGGGGACTTGGCGGGGCCGCGCTCAACCGCGGGTGGCGGCGCGAGTCCAGCGCCGAGGTCATGCGCATATGGACCGGCTGCAAAGCAAAAGGGGCCGGTCTAGCGCGGAATGCAACGTGCGTCTTGGGAGAAAAATCGAGTTCACATGCCTCATTCGATTTTCCTGGCAAGGCCGCCGACGGCGTGGCGGCGCTGCCTGGCTTTTCCCACGCTCGCTCGGCACTCCCGACGCTTAGCGCGGGCGCCTTTGATGGGATTAAGCCTATTGCTGTCATGGCCTATCTTCGCGAGGATAAGCATCGTCTTAGGCCCCTTAGCATAGCGCCACCGTCGGCGTAGCTTTCGGAGCTCTTTGGCGACGACAACTTGATCGAAACTTCGGAGGTTCTGCAGACTGAATTGGATGTCGAAGCGAATCCAATCCGGAAGATTAAGGGCGCGCGTTTCCGCGGCAGCTTCCGTCGCGGGCGCCGGCGGCGGCGGCTCGCCGCGCAGCGTGCGCCCCCGCCGACCATTAACTGATAGATGGTCGTTGGAGCTCCCTGCGCCTCCTCCCCCTGTCCCGCCAGCGTGAGTTCCCCGCGTCGCATCGCGGATTCTGGCTCCCTGAGTAGCGCCTGCAGAAAGACGTCGACGAGGTGTCAAATAGTCTGGGTCTGCCGGAGCTGAGCGCTTTCCGCTTGGACGCGGCGCGGCTGGAAGTGCTTCGAGTTCTGCTGGTGGAGCTGCCGGCGGGGCTGGCGCTTGCGCCGGTGGTTGTGGGGCGCCAGCTGGAGGTTGATGCGGGTGCGCCGGCACTTCCCGAGGTTTTGCGAACCTGCATTTGCCGAGTGTCTTCGCGTGCCCCGCCTCGTTCGAACCGAATTTTCTCTCGCGGCTTTCGCGCCCCCAGCAGATGGGCCAACGTCGCGCCATCGACGCGCGCGTGGGCCCCTTCCGTGGTCAAGCGAATCCATTCGGATGATTGCTACGCGCGCAAGGCACGCTGGGCTTCCTCGTGGCGACCCGGCGTTGCGCCAGACGGGCCGCGCGGCATGCCCTCGGCGCCAAAATCAAAACTGCGCTGTTGGCCGCAGACGCTAGGGCGCACTTCCGCCTGCTAAATGGATCGACAGGCGATTCCAGGAGCTTCTTGGCGACGCGGACTGCATCCGCGAAGTGCGATTGCAATGCGCGCGTGCGCTGTTGCGCTGCAGCAAGCCCCTCGCTGCGCGCCCGCGCGCGTTCGCGGCGGCCGTTGCATTTCGCCAAATTGGAGGCGCATCGGGAGATCAGGCCGATTGCGCGCGATCTGCGTGGGGTTCCTGATGGGGGCGCCGCGTGAATATATTGGCTCTGTGGCGCGCTGATCTATGGAGATCTCGCGCGCGCGCTCGTTCCTGCGGCGCGCGCCGAGCGGGTGCCTCGTCAATCCGGGTGCCTGTTGGTTGTTCGCGCGCCCAGCGGCTACGCGAGTCGCCCTGAGTTCCGGCAGCGGCGCCGCATACAATGTTGCCCGATGCGCGCTCAGCCGGATGGCCGAATCTGCGGGTGCGATCCAGCAGTGCATCGCGCCGTTGCCCGGTCTGCGGCATCTGGCCGCTGCGAATCTGGAGCATTTGAGCGGCCCCGTCGTGGCCAGGCCCGAGGGTTCTAAAGAGCACCGGTGTAAGTAGCTGAACGTTCGGATTTGCAGCGCCGGTTGAGTCAGCCTCAAGACGGGCCATTTCGAAACGGGCGAAGAACGAGTTCTTTCTCTCACCTGGCTCTGGCCTGAAATCTACGAG